TTTTGTCTTTGCTGTACTTCCTGTCTAGAAAGGCAGCAGTGCACACATCTTATCAGCTGTGTGTAAACTACAAACAGATATCTTATCAGTTGTTTGTAAATAGCAAATAAAGAAAGTGGCCCAACTTAAAACTATTTACCCTCAGTTCAGTTATGTTTGTAAACCCTGCATATTAATGAGATGCACTAGTTGGGTGTACACTGGATAAACAAAAACTTGGCCATTTGTTTGCACACTAGAAAAAAATCAGTTTACTTGTACAAGATATTTTTTTTCAATAAAATAAATACACCCATGTATGTAGCATGCCTTAGGGAGCTATTCGTGTGATTTTCAAAAAAAAATGTGAAAAGTGCCCAAAAAACTATTCTGCTACTAATGTTGTGGTTACCCAGATTTACTAGTGTGTTGTTCACAAAATGATGTATGGTCATAGACGATTGAATGGTTAGGTTTAAGGAAATATCATGCAATATAATAAAATTGAATTTCAAAATAATTAATAATGTGGTACACTCACTGAGGAATGAATGTTTGTCATAATTCTAAATTTAATTTTGCTGACTCGGATCACCATCAACAAAACACACTACAGTCTGTGTGTGATAACAGTCGGGTCAGATGACAGTCCTAGCCAACCTACATGGTAGATAGCCAATGTCTTTATAAAAGCATTCATTTGATTGGACGAGTTAATTAAAAACAAACCAATGAAAAACCAGAATTTGAACACACCCTCCAATATCGACCAATCTGATGGATTCTTTCAAACAGAGAACACCTTGGTACCACTCTGCCCGGGGAGCACTTGATGGTTACCGAGATATTTGCGAAAATAAATTGACCCTAACATCAACAGCGTTTATTATAGTGTAATACATCTTCAAAAACGTCAATCGGGCATAAATTGACGTTTTTACTCAGCAATCACGTACTAAACGTACAGAATGTAGTCCGGTTCGCTTTGAGTACGTGCATCTTACCTTTTTGAAGTCTGAACAGTGTACTGTCAAGATGTTCGCGATCATTGAGCTGTAGTCTTCTCACTTGGTCTGCCATTTCTCCCGTTCTGATACGCGATGGGAAACAGTTCCCTGACAATCAAACTAAACCAAGAAGAAGATGGGTACCAAGTGTCAATCGAATGTCGTTCAACTCGTTGCACTTTCGAGTGACGTAACCACTGTTTTGCCGATGACTTGTACTTCCTCGCCAGTCCTGAGAAGGAAATAAATCAGATGTTTTTAAATACAAGGTGAAACATCGGCAGATCGATAACGTAGTGATTCTTAGGGTAAGGCAATGAAACACCGGGAACCGGTCACCAAAGCACGAACATGTTCAATAACATCTACAGCAGACGTACAGTAATCGGATACAGTCAAAAGAATTTTCGCAACACGTACTGGCTACAATTTCAGTAAAATCTCATAAGAAATGATACATACGGGTTCCGGTAGTAACGTAGTGAATCTCGCTGCTCTAAAATGGTTGCTGTACGTCCCGAAACGCGTAATATTGGCGTTAAAATCCCTTGTCTGCAAACAGGACGTGTGAGAATCATGGAAACATACTCAACCAGGCTAGCTAATCTATGCAAATTTGTGCTTTGGTATGCAAATTATTTACAGCCCAAATAGCTCCACAACAGTGTTGGCCAATCAGGTTCAACAATAAAATCTCACAGAACTTCGTCATCCCCATTCTCGTAGCTTGCGAGAAGATCACAACTGTGCGACATCTTGACGTTCTCCGTGTTCTGGAAACAAATTTAAGTCAAAATGGTACGTTTTTATAAACAATCACTTATTTTTGTGGTAATTGAGTACTTCCGAATCCCACCGCACAGGCACAGAAGAATTCGCTAATCCTCCCGATCCCGATTTTAGTTAGGAATCATCCCAGTCATAACACTAAACTCGAGGCCGAGTTATAACCAAGCATATACCTCTCTTTCTAAGGTCTATGAGCCAAGACAGGAGATGTATTTCAGTGTCTTTGGTGACAGTCACTTCGCCGATAGTCAAGCGAACACAATCGACTGTGTCTCGCTTGTGTACTAGGGGTCACAATTTAACTTAACTGGTATTTTATTTATGTACTTTATTTGAGTACTATAAATACACAGTCCCTCTATCAGGCCCGTAGCCAGCACTTTTGAATAGGGGGTTCGAAAACAACAATAAATGATATATTTATTTATAATATTCAAAAAGTGTTTTTGAGCTCTGTTACATACATTTTTATATTTTCGGTTTTAAATTCAATTGGTTTACTTTGTGTTACGTTGGTAAGTTATTCCACATAACATTTTTGAACTATTTTACCATTTTAGAGAAGGGTTCCTAGGCCATTCCCCACCCACAAACACACCCACACCCTTGATCCATTACGGCAAAATGTTGTACACAAAAAAGACAAGACTGTACGTATCTTAGCATTATTGTCCAAGCATTTTAAGGTAGAATGCCACTCACGAGCTTTTTCGCTCTTCACAGATGTTAGCGCACATAAAAGTGACACAATTTCATGTCGAAATCTGTCTACAATTATTCATTTTAGTATTAGTCAATTATGTAATTTTATTTCTGTATTATTTAAAAACAATACAACATCCATGTAAACATATGGTACTAAGTTAAGCTGAATTCATATTCATCTCGTCGCTTTAAAACTTTTAAAAGATACAGAGCTAGTTGATATGTGGTGTGGCAGTTTTTGTAGCGACGAAGTAAGCCCAGACTGTCAGTATTTGCATAAATCAGCCCTTGGATCATTATAAAATGAACATATAAAATGAACATATAAAAACAAAGTGAATTTCAATTGTCTACCATGCTAAATTCAAACGTATCACTGCAAAAACTAAAAATTTGTTGATCTAACTGTATTTTTGTGTGTCTGCCTAATTCAACATTATGTTTATGGCCAAAACAGCAAAAACTCGTCAGTATATATTTTAGTCTATAATTGCTTACCAATAAATCTCCCAAGTTATAATACTACATTGATTTTTCCGAAAGTACACAGCCTGGATGATTGTGAAATTGAAGCATGCCATTCTTGCTGACAACATTTTTTTTTATTCTTTGAGTAAATATCTCTAAAAAATTTGCAGTATCTAGGTACAACTTGTTTTTCAAACCAGACAATGCCGAAACCAGATTTGAACAGGAGATTTTTATGTGGGTTTCCCAAGTAAGTCTGCCGGTCTTGTCTAATCGTTTAAGCATGATATAACATGTTTTGGGGCTCCAGCTACATGTATATATTATTTAATTTTAACCAATATAAGAGACAACGCTTAAAATAATCACAGCATAATTGCAGCCTTCCACATTCGTCCAACATCGCTATATTGTTTGTACAACTATTAAGATATCTGCAAAATGTTGTCTGTACCCTCTCGATTTCCGAATTTTGGTACCCCCATATCGCTACCATAAGAAATAGCTGGCACAATGATTGCATCAAACAAATTAAATGCACTAACCAATAGCATACTACCAAGTTTCTTGCAGTACGTAA